TCACCATGAAGCCTTCATCAATCGATGCACCATAGCCGATATTATATCCTTTCCAGAACACGGTGATCTTGAGTCAAGTCAGAGGTCACCAAAAATGCAAAGAACCCAAAAAGGCTTCGATTGGGGAAGGTTTAATGGTGATCAGAGCCATATGCTTGGAGCATGGGTTGTCCGCAGCCAATTTTGGTAGTTTTGGCCGTTTTTGGTGACCTGTGACCTGACCCAAGGTCACCATGTTTCCCAAGAGATAGGTTATCGACTATGGCGCAACGGTTGGTGAAGGTTGCATGGTGATCTGTACGATAGGCTTGGAGCATGGGGTTATCTGCAAATCTATTTTTCGTTTTTTTTGTTTTGTTTTAGTGACCCTTGACCTGACCCAAGGTCACCATATTCCGAGACTGAGAGGTCGTCAACCAAGCGGCATCGAATGACAAAGGTTTCGTGTTAATCGGTGCCACAGGCTTGGAGCATGGGGCTGTCAGCAGGTTTGGTCGGCCGTCTAGTCCCTCCCAGGAAAATGTTACCCTAAAGGCGATGCAAAAGTTGCATTCGATGTTACCTAAAGTGAGTAGCCTCGTTGTAACACTACACTCCTGGAGGTCATTTATAAGCGGTCTGGGGACAGAACCAGGTCATGTCCTCTCAATTACACGGCAGGGGCTCTCTGTGGGGCAATGTGTCTGGCGCTGTGGCGCCATGCGGGGCTTCATCAGTCATGTGTCACCAGTCGGGGACTGTTCCTGTGGTGGCATTACACCCAGCTGAACGTCGGTGTTTGGCAGCGGAGCGGCGGCGGACGTACAACGGGACCGCGTGGCACCTCTCTACTGATGTCAGATCATGCTGCAAATCATTTGTCGAGTGGGATTTCTGCTGCGTCAATGCAGCTGGCCTTCACCGAGCTCTAAGGCCTCCATACCTTGCTTAGCTGTGGGCAACGCTGGATTCTTTGGTGGACCCATCGTTTATCGCGAAAGTTTAAATACAGAATGTCATTTTATAGCCTGGCAATTACCTGCGGAATTCGGGTTAGGATTCCTTCCTCAAGCCGTTCCCTCCCATAAAGGGGCGCCGTCGCTTGGCTGTTGTGGCCGCCTGCACCGCAGCGTGCGTTTATTCCCTCGCGCGACCCAATATGCATCGCCGCCGTCAATGCACATTGGACAGCCCAGGAACGGTCGAGTGTGTCCGAGCAGGTTAAAGATAGGGCGCCCGACAAGGGCATAGGGCCCTGCATTCAAATAATAAATACCCACAACACGATGTGGAGGCCCCCGAACGTTTCACTTTTGACGTTTCGTTGAATTCGCGGGATAGTTTCACGTTCGCATATCGTTTTGTCTGAAGTGTTTCAAGCTTTCGCAGCGTTAATTACGCAAGGATCTTGACACGTTGCTGTGTGACAAACATTGCAGAACACACAAGGCTGAAAAAGGAGGGAAATGAAATGTATTTTTTTCACATTAGTGAACAGGGAGTCGAATGGGATTCTCCCGAGAGGCAGGCTACTTCAAATCAAAATTCTGATCTATTTAGAAATGTTTTGAAGAACTAGTAGCACAGCTTATATCGTACACGTCTGATGTAACAATAAGTGAAAAGTACAAAAAGATGGGATGCGTCTTTTAATGGATGGTGCCCGGCGAGAACAAAGCGGCATCCATTCAAATAAGAAGTACACAAGACACATTGTGGAGGGGCCCCGAACGATCGAGTGTGCCCAATCAGGTTAACAGATAGGGCCCCTGACGAGAGCGTGTGGCCTTCCACTCAAATAGGAAGTACTTAAGACCCAACGCCGAGGGCCCCAAACGATCGAGTGTGCCCGATCAGATAAACAGATAGGGCCCCCGACAAGAGCAAAGGGCGCTCCATTCAAATAACAGGTACAACACCATGTGGAGAGCCCCCGAACGATCGAGTGAGACAGGGAGGGTTAACAGATAGGGCCCTAGACCAATGCAGAGGGTCCATGAGCATGGTGTGAGCGTGTCGGTAGGTTAACTGAGACCAATGTGAAGGGCCCCTGAACAGCCGAGAACACACCGGCAGGTCGGCACATGGGGCCCTCGGCTGTAGCGCAGAGCCTTTCGGGCGAATGCAAAAAATCAGTGCAAGGCCCACAGATCGACAAGAGCGCCCCAGCACGCGAGCAGGACGGCATCAGCAACAGCATAGGCACTCCGAGAAAATGACGAGAAATCAGGGGCAACGCAGAATGCTCCTTAACGACCGGATTCACGCTGCCAGTAGACATGTAGGTTCCCTGGAATCAGCGTTGGGCCTCTTGATAGCGCGATGAGCCTTAAAACCTCCCATTCACCGCATTTTCAATCAGTAAAAAATGTCTGTTTGTGGGCCCTTCGCTTTCGCTCGCGACTATTCTTGATTGCCTGGAAGCCCAAGCAAAATATCGTTGTGTTAAGTGTTAAGAAACCGCACGTTTTCGGCTGTCAAAGGACCCCTTCGGGTCTATAGGTGCCCTCGGGCCCCAAGGCGGAGCGGGCTTTAGCCCCGTGTTCCTCCTCTGGATCCGTTCCTCGGGGGTGGTGATGTGTTGTCCGACATCAACTGAAGTGCGCACGTTTCATCGATTTCATTTTAGTGCGTTGAGATTGAGAACGTGAGTGCCAACGGGTTGTGACAGCCACATATATGTTGCGGACACTCTATTCGTGTGAAATATTCATAAACACGTAACAATCGCCTGAGCACATACGGTGAACTATGCGCAGATTACAATTCTCAGTATGTTGGGGGAGGAGGCGGGGGTGCAAGTGCACCCCTTCAGCTTCACAAAACAGGTGCGTTTATGAGAAACTGATTCAAACTGTAAGGTGTTCACACGTGATTGGTGTGGGTACACACGAGCTTTAAGAACAGGTCGTAAAGGCAGATCTGAAAATATGCATATATATATATATATATATATATATATATATATATATATATATAGGATATGCACACAAACAGAAAATCAGAACTGAAGTGGACGAGATCCGAGAAAAAATCGCCTCAGTCCCTTTATGGTGACTTCAAAGACGCTCATCATCCGAATCATTTCGAGAAATCGATACCCATAATACCCTTTACTGGTGGGCCGGCCGAACCCAGCATTTTTTTCGGGGGGGGGGGGGCTGTGTTAGCGTCGGCACGTTTGATGCATTAGTCGACGTCGCAAAGCGGGTGCCATTCGGGCAAGGAATGTGGCGACGCTCCACTCTTGGTTGCCTCAGACCGCAGATTCACCAAATAAATTATGGGTAGAATAGAATTTATGTACAGAAAGGAACTCATTGTTCGTCCTTAAGTTGCGTGTCTGTGCACTCTGATCAGCAGTGCTTACAATACATCACCAGACAAGTAATGGTACACATCGTCTACAGTTTGTGAACAGGCAAGAACTGGACACGCATAAAAACACGTTGTTTGTTTCCCCGGCACGACATTGCAAGCCGCCCACCAAAGCTCAGCTGGAACTGTAGCTGGACGAAGCAGACTACAACCGTCGAAACGGCTCACGGAGCACGAATCAGTGTTCACACAATGCAAGACTGTTCGCTCTTCTGTCGACTTGCCCCAGTCCGCGGTTGATCCAGAAAATGTCCATCTCAGAAAGTGCCGATCGAACTGGCCATAACATATCCGTTTGACGTGAAGAACACTCAGATGTGGCATAGAAAATGCAAACCGAATGCTTGCACAAATCACATAGAACAGCACAGTTCAACACGCAAGAAAACGGCGGGAGTGAACCAGCCGCAAAAGAAAACCACAAACGCCGAATGCATTGTTGCTTACGCAGAGACCCAAACGCAAATGACGTTCAGAACAGCCAAATCAGCATCTGATATGAACAACGGACGAACATCCACGACACGTCTATGAGTACCGAACGGACATCATAGCTCAGTCACCGCCGAGGTGCTCTGGCCCCCTCACGATCACAAGCAAATGACCAGTTCAAAGAAAGCACACAAGCGCCCACCCATCAGGGGAGAGCGATCACAGTGTTTTACTATGGCCTACGTGAACGATTCACAATCGAACGCCCTATGAAGCGGATTACAGCGATCATCACACGCCCCTGCGAAGTTCATGAGGATTGAGTTGAAGCCTCCATTAGCGCATGACAATACCAGAAGTGCGCCCGCCATCGGTAGCCAGCTCGGTACACCGCGGTCTTCCACAAGAGATGTGCGCACGAGACGCGCGCTCTTGGTGTTACGTGGATATGTACCGTCGCATGGGCCCTTGTTCAGAAATCTTCCACCGTAAGGGACCCTCACCCCGTCTTAGCGAGAATTAGCCGCGACGCCCCGTCGCTTGACGCTCGTTGTTGCTGAGTCTTTCTTTCCACTTTCGTGCAGAACGAACTATGTGTCACCAAGTGGTCAACACCTACGCACAGCCACCGCCTCGACCCACAGCGTCATTACCCTTCCCTCTGTCGCTGACTCCCTGCAAATGATTCTACCATGACCATTCACACGCGGTCTAATGTTCCCGCAAAGTTCTCGTCCGACCCCTCACCCCACCGTGAGTCATCCCCTGGGGCGCCCGTCGCGGTAGACGGTGCAGGCTCCTTTCCAACATGCCTGCCTAAGGCATGTACTCACCAAGCAACCTTTTCGAAACGGGTCTCTTCTTTGAGCGTCCAATCGTAATACTAAAGCCTTCTTCTCCATTCAGAACTTAAAAAACGCCCTAGCAAGTCCACTTGGACAAAATGAAGATCGGGTGACTACTTTCACCACGGACTGCCGTGTTTTCTGCGTCACGCAGAAGGTACGGTACGTGCTATCGAGCGCCAATCTGCCCCGGATGCCGGTCACCAGCCGAGCCGCGGACGGGCCAGGTCACCAGCCGAGCCGCGGATGGGCCGGTCACCAGCCGAGCCACGGACGGACCAGTCACCAGCCGAGCCGCGGATGGGCCGGTAACCAGCAGAGCCGCAGACGGGCCGGTCACCAGCCGAGCCGCGGACGGACCAGTCACCAGCCGAGCCGCGGACGGACCAGTCACCAGCCGAGCCGCAGACGGGCCGGTCACCAGCCGAGCCGCAGACGGGCCGGTCACCAGCCGAGCCGCGGATGGGCCGGTCACCAGCCGAGCCCAGCCGATCCGCGGACGGGTCGGTCACCGGCGGGTCATCACCGCTGCTTGGCCCCCTCCAGCCGCCACTGTTCGGTCGTGTGGAAGCTGATGCCGTCCGATGGCAGCGGCGAGTGCACGGTCGGCGACAGCCAGGCTACCCGCCAGCGCGTGCCGAACACCTGTCGCAGGTTGTCGCGCCAGCCAAGGTTGTATCTGTCGGCAAAACACACCGGGGCTGGCGAAAAACGCACCACGTTCCGAACACGGGGAAGACAAGAAGTGGCATTTGCGGTAGCTGGCACCAACGTTAAGTGGCTAATGTCGAGTCACCTGGTTTGCCACCACCACCATTCAGACCACAGTGATGGTAAATATATCGAGTGGCCACGGCAACTACGTCCCGCGTCAGCGTACCTGTACCTGTAACTGTCCCGCGTCCCGCGTAACTGTACATTCTTTTTTTCTCAATCATAATTTCTGGCCATGTACAACATGAGCGCGGCAGCATCTGACGTTATCTTCACGCCAAACACAGAATCATAAATAGCTGCTTTAGGAGGGATTTTGAATGCCAAAGAACACAATACAACACGTGGTGGTCACACAATTTCGGCAGGTTCTGGAACGGCATACAAGTCGCCACCGCCAGCCTGCCATTCCAATTAAAACGTTCTGGCACGTGCGCTTACTTGAACTGGCGGTGGGCCTTCTCGTAGTTGGTGGCACCCTTCACGGCGCCCTCCCCGTGGTACAGCAGCATGGCGAACACGAACAAGAATCCCACCAGATCCAGCGTGAAGAGAAAGGCATACAGCTGGAACCAATCATCTCTCATCATCCAACACACAGCATTTTGCAACTGTTAGGACGGATCACAAAAAGCATGAGCACACACGACGCACTACGCATGGCAGCCGTGCTCCCAACGTCATCACACGTAAGTCCTGCTGCTTACCTGCTTGACAGAGACGTCAATGCCGAACACCAGCATGGCGGTGGGCATGACCAGCTGCAGCAGTGACAGCAGATGGAAGCCGCCAACCACCTTCACGATGAAGATGCTGTTGAGCACCGTGGCGTACAGCGCGCCCAGCGCCAGGTACGCCAGGAACAGCAGGAAGTAGCGCATGTTGAAGTGGCCGACGCAGTAGCCGGTAAACATGCAGTGGTGGTCACGCTTGAGGATGCAGGCGTTGCAGGTGGGGCAGTGCCAGGAGCGCGGAGGTGCCGTGGCCTCGCACGCCGAACAGAAGCGCCACTCGGGCTTCAGGCTGGCCGGCAGCAGCAGGCCGTGCGTCGACGTGTCCACACGCATGGCGGCGAAGATGTTGCCGAGGATGTTGTAGACGATGAAGACGCCCAGGGCCGCCTGGACCCAGTAGAGCGGGCCGTCCGACAGAGAGGGCAGCACCAGCGCCACCTCGCAGACGAACGTGATGCCGATCGCCGCCAGGAGGAAGAGCGTGGCGCACAGATCCATGCACGCCCGCGGCAGGAAGTTGGCTCGGTACCGCATCGTGCCAGCGGCGATGAGTTACGGTCACACGGGTGTAGCGATCAGCAGTACTGGCACCCGGGACTTCTAGAACTGAGAACACAAAAAGGTTAGAAGGTGCTTGCACTCACCACTTACACCACGTGCTCAGTTGCCCGTATCATGCAGTCACTTCTTGCATCTCAAGATGGTAATGCTTGGGTCAGGAGGGATGCCATCACTGCCACCGATGCCAGCGACGTCAGCTGTTGCACCCACACATATGTTGTGTTTGTTGTTGGAAGCACTTTGCAGCAGCCCATGACAGTCAAATGGGAAAAAATACAAAGCCTTCTACATTAAAGTCATGTGTTCCAGGGCATAATTGCCTAAGGCAGACTCCCCAAAATGGTGACAAAGAAAACAAAAGGTTATGGTAACTTCATATTATCTATAAACTACAGGACTAGTCAGTTAAGCAACCCATAAGACTTTTTGTTGATCACAATGGCATATGGTTACTGACCTCCCCCCCCCCAAAGGTTTCAAAGGGTAATGCTAAGCTCTGCCAGTTCTGGGGATGGGGGGGGGGGGCAGCTGGCCATCAGTCGGGTAGCTCCCTGCACCTACATCCTTGGGAATAATACAATGTTGTGGGTATGTGTTATGTTAGCCTTTCTGCAGCCTTAATGCTATAAGCTGCTAGAGTGCATCCAAAACCCATTATTAATTTGGATGCCCCATGGCAATAATAATGCTCCAATCTCAATAAAAACTTAGCCTCATAACACTTGTAAGTACACATAAGTACACATAGATAATATAGATAAGTACACATAATTACATGTAGATAAGTACACATATCTGATCAAAATGATTAGGTCATAAATTGCTTTCATCCATCAAACCACTCAGCAAAGAATAATGGTTACAGTTGATTGACATATTTTTACAACAATGTGAAGCAAAATCATTCAAGTAAAATTATATGTACATGTAAGTCATCAGAATAAATCATGACTGTGCATATGGGCATACATGTGTCACTGAGATTTCATTGGAGAATCAGGATTTGGGGCAAAATGAAACCTATGGGAGACAAACTTTAAAGAACAAATATTTTGAATAGGGAAAATATTTAAAAATGGGCATTCCACACACAAGATTAGAAGACAAAATCTCATCTTGTGAACACTGAAAACACATTTGCTTCCCACTTCCCTCTCCCCCCCCCCCCCCCCCCCCCCCCCCAGTCAAAATGACTGCAAATATGACTTTGGATATGTTTATAAGCTTTGTACTGATATGAGGGAGTGATGTGAACTTACATCTGCATGGTCAACAAATTAGATGCATTAGTCCTAGAAAAAGTAAACCCATTATATATATATATATATATATATATTTATATATGATTTAAACTAACTGAAAATGCTGTTGTTGATTGGAGTTTTAGGGTGCACCAACTACCGTGGTCATTTAACACCCATGGTGAAATATAAGGTTAACAGCTGTTGCACTTCAACAAATTCCCTAAAGCTTTCAAACTACATGAGCAGTGTTGGAATACTTGATGTTTCCTGGTAAAACATATGCCAGATTTTGTTCACCAGGATTGTGATTAGGTAAAATGAAATACTTTGTACTCCATAATGCAACAAGAACAGCTTTTGGAAAAACTAATTTTACCTGTGTCAGGACAAAATAAAACATGAAGGTGCAACTACCTGAGACTTGCTGCTTCCATCAGGGGCCATGCATTGATATCTGCAAGAGCACAAATCTTGCACCCACCACACCAAGATACCCAATAGCAAGCAGCCTGTGTTGCCACCTAGGTATATGATAAGCCATGTATGGAAATGTGCAAAATAAAGTGTGAATGTTGAATGGAATCGCCTTTGAACAATACCGGAAAATGAGAAACGAGTATCAGAACCGCACTGGTCTGTAGATTAGCAAATTTCTCACTTCCTATGTCCTACGCAGACCAACTCAAACTTGAATATGACTTAACCTACCATTAAAGAGGAACCGCAATAATTGCCAACGTTGCAACGAACATTCATCGAAAACCGCACCCCCAGTCACGTACCCCAGACCCCCTCCTGACCACGCGCTACCACTATGTCATGGCAATGCGAATAAAAGAATCACTCGCAATTCAGCGTCGGAAACGTCTCAACTATTCAGCGGCTTGCACCTGCCTCCCAGCTAAGGTTGGAGGTTGAACATAGCAAAACTCTCCAATTGTTTTCAATGATTCGCGTCTCGTGACTGATTTGTCAAGAGCATAAATATTCTGCTCGCGCTCATGCCTTGAACAGATTTGTACACATTTGGAGGGAGCTGTATACAGATGGACATCACGATTGTGAAGGATTTATTTGTACTCATCAACCGCCATGTGATTGGATTTCTGGCCACTTCCTGGTATCAAGAGTACAAAAATGTTACGGCAGCTGTGGATTAGAGCCAAGCTAAATTTGTCACTTAAGGGTGCGAAATTAAAGCTGGTAATTCAGGCTTTACAAAAATACCCCTTTAAGTCGAAAAACAATGCTATAAATAGCCAAAAAACTGTTCGGAGACAGCCATCTCACTACGGCAAAAACACCAGGACACCGGAGTAACATGAGCCCATAAGTTTGGCCCGGTAAATTAAGGAGAAGGGTTTATTGGGACAAAAACATTAATCAATTGCAACCTTAATTATCATATTTTGCAATGATATTGGTTAAAGCGCATCAAAATCCATTAATACATTGCATTATCCGTCCGAGCCCGCGGAATGACTGACTGATCCCTTGTGGCCGGCCTGCACGGGTCTGTCAGGCATTGTACTTGCGCTGGCTCGGTAAATTGGTTGAGTGCTGCCTGTCTCTGTAGTTCGGGTGGGACGTGCAGGACCTCGTGTGTTGACCGGGAGTGGGAAGATGGAAGGCATGCGTGTCCAGCTGTTTTTAAAACCAGTTAGCTGGTGGAGCATGAGTAGTGTGACCGTGGTGGAGCGTGACCAGCGTGATCGTGGTGGAGCATGAGTAGGTGGCCGTCTGCAGCATGTTCATTTGCATTTGTTTGTGTTCCATTTTTGCCTGGCTGTACATATCGTACCCATCCCCATGTTGGAGGGTGTACAAGCCCGGTGTGTAGCCACCCTCCATTTTAGAGAGTGTATGAGCCCGATGCGTAATTACCCTCCGCTTTGGAGAGTGTATACACAGAGCCTTCCATAATTGCAAACCAATGTATATGCACATGTGTTTCATAGTACAGGGTATGAGACGTTGTTGTTTTAGTGCGCCATATTTAATACCGATGTTTCCTTCCATTTAACGTACTTTTACATGAAACGCTGCATATAAAAAGTGGCACTTTTGTTGAGTGCCACTCATTGTACTAAAATCAAGCTGTAATGAGCCAGAGCACTCGGAAAATTTTGTACTCCACTATAAAAAATTGCACTTTGCTACCAGGATTTTTTTGGAATTTCCAAAGCTGAGAGACAGGTAAAATGGTTTTAAGGTCTAGGTAATTTATTATTATCCGATGGCAAAACAATGCTTCAAGTTTGCCGCACTGGGGTACAATGCCGGTTGTTTAGACCCTACTTAATACCAGGATATGTTGCCCCTTACCAACCTAGTGTGGAAAAACATCTTTAAAAAATTGATGCCACTGCTCTACTTTGTCCAAATCAGCATAGCGGAATATCTTGTCATTTTCTCTGCTTATTTTAACAACCCTTACTTCGCGAAATCTAGTACCTTCTACCGCCAGCACCGCATTTCACAGGCGATCCTATCATTTGATTCAAGGCATGCCGTAACACTGGCCTCGCCGGAGCCGGCCTCGCACCTCCTAAAATCACCTGAATCACTTGATTGTAACATGACAACCGTATATTATGAATATCAGTGAATGCATCAGGCATTTTTGGATATCTTCAGCCCATTAATCTAAGTTTGAATCCAATACAATAACAATAAATAAAATTTTTCCTGACGTCCTTTACCAGAGCGGTTGGCATCAACTGCTGGCGTAATACTATCCCAGACGGGATCGCGCTGGACCAGTCCAGACCGGTTGACATCAACCGCTGGCGTAATACCATCCCAGACGGGATCGCGCTGGACCAGACCAGACCGGGCCAAACGGCACGGTGCGAGATCTGATGGGACCAGATGGCGCTTGACGGAACCAGACTTCCAGACGGGAAGTCTGGTTCCGTCTGGAGGGAAGACGGGTAGCCAGAGCCTTTCTAAGAGGAACACAGGGTTGACAAAAGGTGGTGGTTCATGGTGATCCCCCACAAAAAACATCCCCGGATATAGTTACTTGTTAACAAGGGACACGGTTTTCTTCGCTTCATTGCTATTTTTACGTTGTAACTAGAACGGAAGCCAGAAGTTACCGTGACATCAATTCTGTTTACATTTTTAACACGCGCCCGGGTGGCCGACTAGATACCATTCGCTCTGGTGAGGGGTCAATTTGAACACCCCTCCCCCTGAGATCTCGAGAACTAAGAGGGCTAGAGACACCAAATTTGTAGAGTGTGTTGACCTATACATTAGCTCACTAAGATCAAAGTTTGAGGTTCCTAGGTCATGATTTTTGGGTCAAATAAGGTCAAACAAGGTCAAATTCCAGGTTAGTCTATAAGAGCCCCCAGAACCTAGATAAATATTTCTAAACAAAACGTCACATGTTCGGTTAAGGTTAGGGACCTTGTTTCACCTTTTGAAGGTCATGGTGACCAAAATCACACAACACTGCTCTGAGTCTTGCATTTGATTAAGCGAGAAAGATAACGCTAGGCGGTACGTTTCTAAAAACAAAATGTTGATCCAGAACATTTTACGTCAATGACCTATGCTGACCCCTGAGAAATCCATGGAAGATGTGTAATACGCTTCCTGCTATCAATAAACTCGGAATGAGCACCCGGAACTATCCCATACAACAAGTCTTAGGATAATGAAACAGGTTGAACCTTTAGTCTTGGTCCGACCTTTGCACCTGGCCTTAAGTCAACTTAATTTGCTCATTCAATGTTTGTGTTGCCTAGGAAAGCATCTAAGAGATGATTGCCTTCTTCTAGCACTCCATTGGTGCATCAGATGGAAAGATTCCCCAGAAGCTGACTTCGCTGAAATCATGGCCTGACTTTGACCCGTCATAGGTCAGTGACCTTACAAAGTAACTTTAAATTTTGCATGCCAGGCTATCTGATATTCAGTTGTCTACAGCCATGCAAAACATGGCGCAGCTGTACTGCACCGTTCGGAAACTATTCTGGAAAAACCTTCTGGGGGCGAGTCAACTTGACCCCCCAACCCGAGCGCGTGTTAAGGTCAATAAGCTGCAGAAATAGTGCGTTTAACGATCGCATGGAATAAATTACCGGTGTTCTTAATTTGTAATGGATTAGTAGACTCATTTTAAACCGATAGAATTCAGAAGCTTTTTCATAATGTTTTATCTGCGTTTTACAGACGTTGAGGACATCGCGAAGGTAGGTTGTAGATCAATATGCGTGATCGAAATTTCATGGTGAAAATTTTGATTGTAGGCCGAGTGGTCAACAATGTGTATTAACATCGCCAAACCTCATTTGTCTGGATATTTTTTTTAAAAAATTCAGTCAGAATTGATTATTGATACGATTTATACCACGTGGTTTATAACATGCGCGCTCGCAAATCCTGGCGACAAAAACTTCGACACCATTCGTTGCAGTCTCCATAGCTCGCGGAGCGCCAGCTCAGTAGTTAATTTTTCGTCATGGCCCACCGGTGGACGAAAATGATGACGGTTATGAAAAATTGGTCTTTAAACATTTGAATCGGTTAGTAATAAAAGCTATGTGGCATGATTTTGAGCATGCGTACTCGCAAAGCTTAATTCAAAAACCTCCACGCCAGGCGTTGCAGTCTCTGTAGGCCGCGCATCATTGGCTCAGGACCTAATGTTGAGCCGTGGCCAGCGGGTGAACGAAAATAATGACGGTTCTGAAAAATACTTTTGAACGCCTCAGGACATCAAATCTTACATCTACAAGGCAGTCTGGGTGCATATTTCACGCGTGCAATTTTTAGACTGATGATGAGAACGGATTGACCCTTAAAGCACCGCGAAGTGATGTTGGAATATGGTGGTGGAATTGGAAGAGTGAAGGTAGGTTCTCTGTGTTTAGTGTTTCTGTAACTATTTATCTGCACAGAAGACAGATTAACAAGGCGCTCGCTGTCTGGTGCCACTTGCAGTGGCCGACGCCGTTCGTTTTTTCGGAAGCTGCAACCCAGGCCATCGCTGCCGTTGCTCTCGAGGTTGCTGGCGGACATGTTCAAACATTTTGATGATTTTTTTTTCACTAATCCATTCTGAAAATATGAGTGTTCGTAGGCAAACATGGGATGACCTTGTTCGTTTTTTTATTCATTTGGACCCTTTGGCGTCGGCCTGCGGCTGACACTAAGTGATGGCCAATAAGCAAACGAAAAAGATGACGCATATTGAGGAAGATGGCTGGCGACCTAGGTAAATCGGTATGTATGCTCAAATGTGGCCCAAAAGTAGGCTAAACACAGCCTTAATCTGAAAAGTGGGTGCCAGTTAACACCGCTGGCTCCTCACCTTGAAAAGTGGGGGGCCATGGCCCCCCTGCCCCCATCCCCCCCCCCCCCTCCTGTTCCTACGCCCATGGATGTATCTCTCGAAGGGCCTCCGTGTCGACCAGGGGATCCTGCCCCATATCGTCCGAATGGGTGCCGGAGGACGCCCTGCAATAGGACGAAATGACTTTTCACCTCTTTATGGGGCACAGGAATATGCACTTGGTGTTCTACTCAAGAGAGGTATTTCACCGGGAAGGAAATAAGTTGTCTCAGTAATGTTGAATAGAGCGGGCTGAAATAAGTTCAAAAACTAACCAGAACATCACACGCTTGCTTTAGAACATTCACTCATTTGCAGAATCGATCAGTGAAACAAATAACGTAAAAAGGTTTGGTGCACGCGCCTGCAATCTCGGGAGCGAGGGTAGCGATGGACTCAGATGCAGCTCC